AGACCTCTTGCGAAACTCAATTTCTGATGGCAATTTTGTTGTCGAAGCTGAGCTGTGCTCCTCAAATACATCCTGCGGTGCACTTCTCCTCTTACCATAAATCGAGTTGCGAAAGAGGTCTATTGCATTCAGCTATAGAATAAGCTATTAAATATAAGTAAAATAAATTATATGACACTTAGACTTATTCCAGACAATCTCAATATAGAGTTTAGTAGATACAAGAAATTCACTACATTAACGAGTATTATTCTTGTTGTTCTTTCAATGTTCATTGTTGCATTACGTGGAATAAATCTAGGAATAGACTTTACAGGTGGAATTTTAATAGAAATTCCATCACCTGATAAAACTAGCTCACTTCTTGATGCGCTAAAAGAAAACGGATTTACAGTACAGAGTTCACAATCAGGTGATAATTTAGTCATGTATTTTCAGGACATAGGAGATGAAGGCACGATCAAAAAAATAAAAAATGTCTTAGAGGAAAAATCAGGTAGCTCTATTGTCTATCGTAAAATAGACTATGTGGGTCCACAGATAAGCTCAACACAAATCTTTGAAGGAGTGTTGGCTATATTTTCTGCAATTGTCGGGATATTTTGTTACATTTGGGTGAGATTTAATTGGCGGTACGGTTTAGGTGGAACAGCAGCACTAGTCCATGACGTCATTTTAACCATGGGTTTTATTAGTCTCATTGGTATTGAATTTAATATTTCATCTACCGCTGCTCTACTAACTGTTATTGGTTATTCAATTAATGATTCAGTTGTTATATATGATCGAATCAGGGAATATGGCAAACAAATAACAAGTAAAATAGTAGATAAGAGCATTAATGCCACGCTATCTCGTACGATATTTACTTCTGGTTCAACTCTTCTTGCAACCATTCCCCTAATATTAATTTGTAAGGATACAGTAAGAGATTTTAGCTTGATCATCTTTTTTGGTATTGTAATTGGTACTTATTCTTCAATATTTATATCTGTTCCTATACTGACTGTAAAAAATCAGGTATAATTTGAAATAAATATTTTTTATGTTATGTTTGATAGAGCTAATTGGAGTAAAAAAATATGGTACAACAGACTA